ACATTTTGTGCAAAACAAAATTTTATATATATATATATATATATATATTTTAAAGATATATAACAATATATTATAATACCCATTTCTAATATTTTAAAAATAAATATATTCTACAAAGAGCTTTTCTTTGAAAATGGGGGCAATGGCCTTAATGCAGAAATACCTTTGAAATTTTGATAGTTGATAAAAAAAGTTGATAAAAAAACCCCCGAATAACTCAGATTCCCCGCCATAAAATCACCATGGTTACATTTACCAAGATTTCTCACCACAAAGACAATCATCATAATTCACTCTGATTAACAAGCCATTCATGATTTCAACTACCTAACCTCAAAAACACCCCACAACCTGAATCCAAAACTCAAAGGGGAAAGATTAGAGAATTTTTCACAGTGGAGCTTTACCAAAATGAAAGTTAATAAAACATAAGTGATTCTCTCTGGATAGATGCCGTGTGAATGAAACAGTAGAACCCCCAGAAATTAATTGAACTCTGAGGGAGGGTCAGGCTTTCTAAGTTTAAGCCAATCAATACAAGTGCTTTGAGCTCTTAAGAGGACCAATAAAAACAAAAACCTCTCAATCAGCCAATCAGTAGTGAGGAATATCGTCATAATATAAGGTTTAACCTACTTCTGGGAAGCGAAAACATTGCGAGTGATGGATTTTTAAAAAAACAATAAAAAAAAAAGAGAAGGAGAGAGAAATAGAAAAAAATCAGACACTGCAAGTCTAAACCCTTTAAGGAAAGCGGAGTTATAAATTTTAGATTTAAATCACCCCTTATAAAGTCATTTACAACTGATTGTCTTTACAAAATTATCTAAAAATCAAAACTCCTCCAGGTTTTTACAAAAAAACAGCTATTTTTAAACCTCCATTACAAAAGACCATGAATTGATAAGGCTGATCTCATGCTGTAAATGTTTGTCTGTCGCCCTGTGGGCTGTTATATGTACAGATGGAAAGTTGTGGTGTGTTTTCAGAAGGGAAAGATACGCGACACCATCCTGTGCATTTAGTCCATGGAGTGAAATCAGAAGAGGAGAAACATGTCACCGTCTCGTGTACCCCTCTCAGAACATGGACACATTAAGGACCTGTTTGACAAAACATACACACAGTCACTTTAATAATGGTATTTTATTCAACAGGTTTAAGCTGGTTATGTGGATTCCAACAGAAAGTGCTTTGTTTCAAAGTTACGTCTGTGTGAGTTGTGTACTTCATACATCGTTATACTACTGACAATAGGCAAAGGACCATTTTTGTCCACGAAATGTTGCTAACTTTAGAATGTTTTAAACTTCATAGCTTTCGTTATAGTTATTGTTTTTGGTGTGAACGGGCCTTTAGTGCTGCATTCTTCCTTAGCATCTTGCCTGTCAGTTCACAGTGTAAATGGACAGAAAGAACAAACAAAGTAGATTTTTAATTTTTTTTTTTTTTTTTTAAAGTGAATGTAAATTTGCTACCACAATGCTGTGTGATTGGGTGGTTGCTTACTGGCGCAAGATAAAAAAAAGCACATAATCCTCTGGTCCCTCCTTTAATGTAAATCTAAGGGATTTCTAACAAGCACAACTAATTAATAAATTATAAAGTGAATTAATGAATGAATGAATAAACAGATAGATGAAAGAATGCTTACCGAGTCGTCCATGATGGAGGCAGGGTCAAAGTAGTCTGGTTTCAGCTCTGATCTTTCCCTGCGGTTTTTGGATGGAGGCTTCAGAGAAACAAAAAAGGTCAAGTTAAAAATACCAACACACAAAATGTTTTCTCTCTGTGTATGAGTGTGTCAACCCAGCAGTCAAAGGAAACTGGATTAGATGGATGCGAAGATCTGAGCAACACTGTCATTGTGACTCTGTACCTGATGAGTGACAGTGAATATTTGGGTGAGAAAGGGTTCTCACTGGTTATGCTTTCCTGAATTCTGATTCCTACCAGATCAATGTCCATGGTGTCGAAGTCCATGCCCTCGTTAAGGTCGTCCAGTCGTTCCTCTGATGACATCATCACATCCTCTACAATCGGTTCCTCATCATCCTCCATCAGCCCGCTGCCACGACGACTGGCACACAAGCACATTTAAAAAAATTAGAATATGAAAGCAAGATGGCAATATGGCAGCCCCGTTCAAAAATTATAAAACTGAACAATGCTAGTTTGTCCACAAAATAGCATTACGATGCAAAAAGGGAAATTATATCAAATCACAACAAGTAACTGATAATCAGACCAGAGATTCCATAAATGTTAGGGGTGTAATGATATTCAAACCCATCCAAAAAACTGCGATACATCCCCCACGGTATGTACCACAATACACTCATGGCCTACCCCGCCCCCTGCTGAGACACTTCAAACACTTATGGCCATGATGGTTTTGAATTGTTTGAATCACTTTGAAAAGGAAGGTACCATTAAGGGCAACATGTGCAGAACAAATCGGTCCCACTTTATATTAAGTGGCCTTAACTACTATGTACTTACATCAAAAAATAAGTACAATGTACTTATTGTGTTCATACTGAATTGCAAAACACTTTTGCTGCTATTGAGGTGGGAAACGGGTAAGGTTAGGGGCAGGTTTGGTGGTATGGGTAGGTTTAAGGGTGGGTTAAGGTGTAAGGGATGGATCAACAGTGTAATTACAGATGTAATTACAAGCAGGTATTTTTAAAATATAAGTACAATGTAAAAACATGTATGTACACAATAAGTGCATTGTACCAAATTATTAATTTAAATGTAAGTACATAGTAGTTAAGGCCACTTAATATAAAGTGGGACCCAAATCTGTCATATAGGCTGCATAAAATTATAATGAAAACACGTCTGTGAGAGAAGGACATATTTCAGCGCATTGTTATGGAAAGAACATGTCCACAGAGTTATATCTTCAGTCAAGTTTGCTTGTGCAGCCACTCACAGCCTTTTGTAAGTTGCAATATTTTGTTTACATATATATATATATAGTGTATATATTATTTATCTCATATAAGATGCATTTGGTTGAGTTACACTGCAGGAAAGCTCTTCATTGTAGGCCTACTACTGTGATTATCTCTTCAGCGCACAGTATAAGCAGCACCAACAACAATGCAGAATATTAATAACCAAGACTGGGACTGTCATATACATAACATTATAATGAGAACACTATAATAATAAAATGCTGTACATTTTTAGAGTTTAGTAGCCGTGTTTCTGCACATTGTTGCGTGAAGAACGCGTCCACAACAAGAGCAGCACAGACACGTTCATTTTTGCATTCAGGCCATTTTGTGCATATATAAGTTGTAATATTAAGGTTATGTATTATAAATAACGAAGTGTATCCTATAAAAAATAAGAAATCAGGAAGGGGGCCAACACTTTTTCACACCACTGTAAATCTGACGAGTTAAATCCCGTCGATTAAAAACCCTCTATCAAAGTGCTTCATTGTACTGGTGATCTTCAGCGCTCGCAGCTCAAAACAGAAATGCAGAACATTAATAACTATGACTAGGACTGTCATATACATAATGTTATAATGAGAGCACTATTGTAAAAAATGTTGTGAATTCTTAGGGATTAGCTGACGTTCCATCCACAGAAGGAGTTACACATTCTGACTACGCAACTTAGTTCAAGTTCACTTGTGCTTGATTTTGTGCAATGTAATCAGGGCCTGAATTTCGCTGTGGGATAGCAGGCATTGTGCGTAATTCTACACATTCCCGCAGGCTTCGCGGTTATAAAGCGGGAAATTACTGCAAACATTTATGCACTACAGCATGTAGGTTGAATCCAAACAGATTATCAGAGCAGATCAGTCATTTTAAAACTTTCTGTGAGACAGAGTTTCACAAACAGTGTGATTGATTGGGATTGATTGGGACCGTGTCTTCTCCCACTCCCTCAAAATGCACAAATGACCTCTCATCCAAAATATCCATGTTGAGTTTGCTCTGCAAGCGAGCTGCACACTGCAATTCAAGACTAGCGCACATTTCGGACAGTCGACGGAATCGTCACTTGCGTGGCAATAAATTTTTTGTTATATTATACAATCTACATTCAAGCTATTTTAAGTACTCGCGCACTCTCTGAGAGACGGTCTTCAATGCACTCTCAGCAAAAGCATGCATAGCCGCCTCTCAAACAGCTTGCGATTCTCGAGTTTCAGATTGAGTTTTTACATATTTGATTCAAATCATTTCTTTATTGTCCGGCTATCCCATTTTATTTATCCATGGCACATGCATTTTATATGTAGCCTAAGTAATGTTGTCCAATGACTTGTTTGCATTATTTAGTCATCATTTTATTTTATTTTTTGTAAGGCAATAGATTTTTTGGGTAAAATTTTACAAAGCAACAAGTTTTAAAGTCTCATTTGTTAAAGGGGTCATATGATGCGATTTCAATTTTTCCTTTCTCTTTGCAGTGTTACAAGCTCTTGGTGCATAAAGAAGATCTGTAAAGTTGCAAAGACTAAAGTCTCAAATCCAAAGAGATATTCTTTATAAAAGTTAAGAGTCAACCACGCCCCCACATATCTACCTCACTATGTGGGAAGATTTGCATAACGCCGCCCAAATGTTCACACAAAGAAAGAAGGTGTAACTTTTATTCTCGCTGTAGTATTGTTGATGCTGCCGCCGCCATGTCGTGAAGGTGCTGTGTGTTTCCTTGTGAAAGCGAAACTACTTTGTTTGGCCTTCCAAAAGAGGACGATATCCGCTTCGTCATGCTTGGAGCTCATCCGTGCTGGTCGCTGAGGAAATACATCAACTTTGCACTGTGGCTTTCGCCGGCTTTCACCATGGACGAAGCGGAGTCCAGCCCGGGGTCGTCACATGTGGTTGCCACACATTTCATTACACCAAATACACAAAATAATGTTCTTTTTAGCAGCATCATATGACCCCTTTAATGCATTAATGAACATGAACTAACAGAGAGCAATTATTGTTGTTATTATTATTATTATTAAGTTAAAGGGGTCATATGATGCGATTTTGTTACAAGGTCTTGGTGCATAAAGAAGATCTGTAAAGTTGCAAAGACTAAAGTCTCAAATCCAAAGAGATATTCTTTATAAAAGTTAAGAGTCAACGACGCCTACCTAAAACGGCTCGTTTTAACACGCCCCCACATGTCTA